CTGATCGGCCTGGACGATCTCAACATCGTCCTGGCCGATCCTGGGAGGAAAATCCAATTCAGAGAGGAACAGTAAGGGAACGAGGTCTCACAAAAGTAACTCCTTATCTGAATATGCATTTCCCATTCAACCAACTCATTAGGGACATATAATGCAAACCAAACTAAAATCTGGCATTACTAAACCAAAGTAGATCTTTGATCTGTCTGCAATTTCTTCCCCCAACCTCACTCCCACCAGTACACCCAGGAAATTTGCACACCACATTGGCGGTCAACTATGTCTCATGAGTTCCTTGCTCTCCAAAAGCAAGGAACATGGTCTCTCATCCCCCACCTAATAAACCAATACTTGGATATAAGTGGACTTTCAAGACAAAACTCAATCCAATGGTCAAGTCGATCACTACAAGGCTCGCATCGTTGCACAAGGCTTCAACGAAGAATTTGATATCAACTACACAAAAACTTTAAGCTATGTTTAAAAAATACTTACCATTAAAATTTTCCTAGTTCTTTCTCTTCATCAATGCTGGTCTATTCTACAAATGGACATGTCAAATGCCTTTCTGCATGGTGATCTCCAGGAAGAAGTTTATATGGCCCAAGCACCCAGCTTAATTTATAACTAGTATCCCAATCATGTATGCATGCTTCAAAAATCCATTTACGGCCTTAAGTTGGTGCCTCGACAGTGGTTTCATAAACTTACTTCATTACTCATCCACTTTGGCTTCACCTTCATCAAGGCCGACCTATCCCTCTTATTATCCACCAGATGGAAAACTCAACTATATATACTCTTATATGTAAATGATATCATGCTTACAGGAAATGAGTCCACTACCATTCAAGAATATCTCTCGCATCTTCAATCCACCTTCTCCATCAAGAAACTAGGAGACATCTCTCTTTTCCTTAGCATTCAAGTCGGTCAAACAACCACTAGCATTTTCCTCCATCAGCAACATTATGCTAAAGAAATCTTAGCAGCAGCAGGTTTTGCAATGTGTAAGCCCACAGTGACCCACATGTCACGCAATCCACTAAAAGACCAGACGTTAATCTACCATACAATGATCCACAACACTACCATCATCTGGTAGGCTCACTTCAGTACCTAACCATGATAAGGTCGAATGTTGCCTTCATCTCCAATATCATATGCCAAAGGATGCACAAGCCACATAACTACTCTGGTATGTTTAAGGGATAACTCACTATGGAATGGCTCTCACTATAAGAGATATTCTTCTCAAAACATATGTTGATGTAGACTGGGCAGCAGATCCCTCCATTCACAAGTCTGTCTCAAGTTTCTATACTTTCCTCGGAGACAAACTCATTTCCTGGTGCGTCAAGAAATAAGCCACTGTTGCCAAGTCATCCACCAAAGAAAGATACAGGACTCTTTCCTCGACCATGTCAGACGTCCTTTAGCTTCGCTGTCTCGTAGTAGAGTTTCAACTTCCTCAACTAACTCTAACCATCATCTATTGTGATAACACTTCGGCTATTGCACTCGCCAATAACCTAATATTTTACTCAAGGAATAAACACATTGAGATATATTATCACTTTATTAGTGAGCATATCTTCAACCAGGCCATCGTTGTTTCTCATATTCACTCTGCCGAACAACTAGATAACGTCCTCATAAAACCATAGTCAGAAATTAGATTCCATGATCTGAGATTCAAATTAACCATCCATTACCCAGATGCTTAATTTCCGGTCGGGAGGGGGGGGGGGGGGCTATTAGCTCACCAATACAGGCCGTACCACACTACAGGACCACAACTCCTTATACGACACCACCTTCCATCAGACGTCTGCAGTAGTCTAACATTCCATAACCAAAAGCATATTCCTCTCAACAAACTGTACTCACCTATTCTACTACCTTATATAGACAAGGTTTGTAATAGAGAGCGATCGAGCTTCTTCTCAACGAAATAGTGATTTTTTTCAGATAGCATTCTTCTACTATTCTTTCTTCCATCCTTACTCTTTCATTGCTTTCTGCTATTCTTGCTTCATTACAAGTCTTTTAGTAGCCAATATGGTCACTAAATGGTGAAATCATATATGGCCTTACTTAAAGCCAATTTTCATTATAAGTTTTTATTTTTAATTTCATTTATCTTTGTTTTTGAAATAATGTGATATCTCTTTAGTTACTTTAGTGTTATGTTGTAGCTCCCTGGTTTTGGTTCTCTGCCTATCCATACAGCTAAGGTAGTTATTTTGTATGAGGTTGGGCGGTGAGGAGAAGGTAGTGGTGAATATCATTATGATGGAAACTTTTGAAATGAAATAGCTTTATTTAGGGGAGTTCATGTGTTAGGATTAAATAAATAAAAAATAAATATGATAAAAGTAATGGAGAAAGAATAACAAAATTTATACAAAATTTTGAAAAGGGAAAAATTATGAAACTATGTCACATAAAAAAATCCACAATAAAAAATGAGGACAAATTTTATAGATCTTTCTCCTGACACTCTCTCTCAATAGTCTTTTGCAGCCTTCACTTTCTCACATTACGCCAAAGCATAACCCTCAGTGAGTTTACAAATGGAATTGAGATTTAAATAAACAGTACAGCTCCATCGATCGACACAATTAGATTCCATTAAGAAAGCATCATCTTCCTCAACAAACTCATTTTATTTCATCTCTTATACCTTTGTGTCAAGTGGTACCGAGATTGGATATGGACATCGCGATGAAGTTAAAGATCTTGCCTGGTAGGCCCAATTTCTCTCAATTAATACATTAGACTGACGGGCTGACAATCTTACTCTACATATGTTGAAGATCCTAAACACTATCATATGCAGAATATGCCATTACACAACGGAGAAGCTCATCCTGACAGACATCACCAGTAATACTAGTCCAAGCATGAACGCAAGTCGATTTGCCTTTCTTCAGTGGACTGGCTGAAATATATTGAAACTGTCTTGGAGTATGTAGAGATTCCTGGGTGAAACAGGCGATGCTGATAGCCTATAAGCTCAGATGTGGAGCAGCCAAATGGTGGGAATAGATACAAACACAATAAAGAACCGAAGGAAGCTGGCACACATTCATTCCCAGCAAAGAATGTAGAAGTTGACAAATGTTAATAGTTAGATGCAGTGTATTAACACTGAGTTCTTCAGTGGATCATATCAGATTCATTACATTTGTAAGCCTATGCCAAGTCAACAATGAAGGAAACTTAAATAGAACTCGGCATTTTAACCCAACACATGCAATAGATCATAATAGTTCAACAAAGATTCTTGCATTGCATTTATTTTTATTATTATTATTTTACGCTACTGTAATATAATGCTAATACAGAGAAAAAATATTGATCAAGTGCATATACAAAATTATGGCTACTTAGTACTTGAATGAGAATTTCAAATTAGTTTTATCTAATTTTAGGGAGGGAAAAGCCTTTTATAATATCAATGACTGAAAGAGAATTTAAATGTGAAATTTTCATATTATATAGAGCTATATATAAAATATTTCCAAATGTAGAAGATGAGAGCCAACCGGCTGCCCCCTTTATTCCACCAGTTTCTCACCTAATTGAAGACTCCATGATTAAGATGCCAAACAAAATATTTGATGATACCAAAAAAAAAAAGTAAGTTTAGGCGTATGACATTTTTTAGAGGTATTTATATAGATATCACTCAAGACTATTCCATTTATATATTTAACTCTTAAAATTACTATTTTCTCACATAATACGCAATTCTTTATACAACATATATAACACTATAGAAAAATTAGTGATTTGTAGCAGGCTTTACGACGGAAAAATTTTTCGACAAATTTGCAGCGGATTTGTGGAAGAAATTCAGTCACAAATCTGCCACAAATCCATCACAAATAAGTTTATCTAAATAGATATCCAGCTCATTTCTTTCATTCGCTCTCGGTCTTATTTGTTCCTCCGCACCCGAGCTTGTAGCGACTAGCCACCCTTGTTGATGTTCCTTGCTCGCGAGTCCTTATAAATGTTCATCGGTTTTCCTCTCTTTCATGGCAAATCCGCCGCAATTTGTGAGCCCTTCCCTAAGAGGATCATGTCACGATTTTCATACTTCTTCTTCGTAGTTTATATGCAGCGAGTCTTATTGATGGTCTTCCTAGTGAAGTCCATATGTGGCTTCTTCAATCCAACTGGATCCCATTGCAACTTTCTCATTGTCACCAATGATTTCTTTAGATAAGTTAATGGATTATTATATTATATAAATAGTAAGATTTTTGCTGTAAATTTGTTAAAAAAAAACTCTTCTATTATATATATAAATATCTTTTTTTTTCTAATATAGAAAATTAGCAAAATTATTTTTTAAAAAATAAAGTATATAACTTATGTTTGTTCATGATGCTACAATTATTCTTAAAAATAATGACTAAAAATCAGGACTGAAAACTGATGAAACTTCTTCTTCAATAACCTGCAATAGTAATCAGAACTTTGCAAAAAACAGAGAAGAAAGTATCTGTGTTAGAAGACATAGAGAAGATAGTGGAAAACACTGTTCATCTCATTTCATTCCCCGCCTTTCTTCACAGCACAGCTGTGGTATATTAAGCCGGTGAGGGAGACAGCCTAAACGGCTGTGATTCCTTACAGTCATCCAACGAAGGGAAATTACACCATACAAAAGGTAAACAGAGTAATGGAGCAGACATAAAGAGAACCACGCCGACTTATGTATAAGTAGAGGGTCATATCACGTCTTCTTATCATCCCCCCTCAAGGTAACAGTAGAGGGCTGAACTGTTAGCTTGTCCCGAAGAAAGGAATGCCGCGTTGCACTTAGAGCTTTTGTAAAGATATCAGCTGGTTGATCAGGAGAGCAAATGTGATGCACTTGAATGTGGCCAGCTTGAATGCAATCCCTTATAAAATGAAAGTCTATTTCGATATGCTTTGTACGAGCATGAAATATGGGATTGTTGGCCAAGGCTAAGGCAGAGATGTTAATTATCACAGTAAAGAGGTGTGGGTTGAGTTTGTGACAACTGAAATTCAGAGAGAAGGCGACGAATCCAAATAATGTCACAAGCAGCAGTTGAAAGCGCCCTATACTCTGCTTCAGTAGATGAGCGGGCTACAGAGGTTTGCTTTTTAACTTGCCATGAGATAAGATTGGAGCCAAGAAATGCACAGTAACCAGATATTGATCGGCGGTTGATAGGGTCAGTGGCCCAATCGGAATCAGCAAAGCCTTGTAGAATGAGAGTTGAAGCAGTGATAGGTAAGCCAAGTGACAGGGTACCTTGAATGTAGCGTAAAACGCATTTAAGCAGTAAGTAATGGGATTGAAGAGGACAGTGCATATGCTGACAGAGAAAATTTACTGCAAATGAGAGATCTGGACGTGTGAGTGTTAAGTATTGCAATGCCCCCGTGAGCTGTCTGTAGTGCTCTGGCCGATCATAAGGAGGATCCGGAGAGGATACCTTGGTGAAAGTGGTAGGTAACGATGTTAGCACAGGTTTGCAATCATCCATAGCTGCTTTGTGAAGTATGCTGGCTGCATAGTGCGATTGAGTGAGATGAATTCCATTTGGTATTTCGGATACCTGCAGCCCCAAGAACTGATGTGGCTTGCCTAGATTTCGCATGGAAAACTGAGAGTGCAAGGCTAACAAGAGTTTATCCAGTGCAGCTACTGAATTGCCAGTTACCAGGATATCGTCCACATAGACGATAATATAAAGTCGGACGGTACTGTGCTGTAAGAAAAATAAGGACGGATCGGCAGTGCTCGAGCAAAATCCATACCGAAGTAGATAGGAAGAAAGAGTGAAGAACCACTATCGAGGCGCTTGCTTAAGACCATAAAGGGCCTTTTTTAATAAACAGACATGAGTTGGAAATTGTTTGTCCACAAAACCAGGGGGTTGCTTCATGTAGACAGTCTCAAGAAGAGGTCCATGTAAGAAGGCATTCGAGACATCGAGTTGGTAAAGAGGCCAATGATTTGTGACAGCAACGGTTAAAAATATTCGAATGGTTGGAAATTTAGCAACGGGGCTAAATGTTTCAATATAATCCAAGCCATATTCCTGCTTGAAGCCTTGAGCAACAAGTCTGGCTTTGTAGCGAGCTATGGTACCATTCGAGTGATATTTAGTTTTGAATAGCCATTTGCATCCCAACACATTTGTAGCAGATGTTGACGGAACTAGTATCCATGTGCCTTGAGTTTGAAGAGCTTGAAATTCTTTGCTCATAGCATCTCGCCAGGCAGGGTACTGAATATCTTGAGTAAAACTAGTAGGAGCAGCCGGCACTAGCTCATGATTCAGATCAAGGATTTGCCGAGGCTTTAGATGTCCAGATTTAGCTCTGGTGATCATGGAATGTTTGGTGGGACAGTGGGTAGAAGTAGTAGTATCAGGTTGACTGGAACCAGATAAGGGAGGTTGTGGAGAGACAGTGGTAGCGGGGTGATAAGGTATGTCTAAGGAAGCCGATTGAGAATTTGTGGCTTGTGGCAGAATTGAAGTAGGTTCGGCTGAAGTAGTAAGAGTGTTCTGAGATAATGTGGAGATGGGAATTAATGTGGAGGAATGAACATTCTTAGATGGTATGGGAGAGATAACAGGATTGGAGATTTGTTTAGAAGGAAATGGAAAGATGGTTTCATAAAAACGAACATGTCTAGATATGTAAATCTTGAATGTTTTAATATCTAGGCATTTGTAACCTTTGAATTGAGGAGCATACCCAAGAAAGATGCAAGGTGCCGAGCGAGGGGCAAGTTTATGAGAGAGATGAGTAGTAAACCAAGGTTAGCATAAGCACCCAAAGACACGAAGATGTGAGTAAGTAGGTTGACGGTTATACAGAAGTTCAAGAGGAGATAGATTTTGAGTGGTGGGGGTAGGAATGCAGTTGATTAAATAAACTGCCGTAAATAAAGCTTCAAGCTAGAAATATGGAGGTAGCCGAGCATGAAATAACAAGGCACGAACTGTTTCAAGTAAGTGTCTGTGCTTTCGTTCAGCAACCCCATTTTGTTGAGGGGTATAAGGACAGGATTTTTGATGAATGATACCGGAGCTAAGAAGGTAAGTTTGGAGGGATTTGTTAACAAATTCCCCCCCTCCATCAGTTCTTAGAATTTTAATAGGTTTTTGAAATTGATGTTCCACAAGTGTTTTAAATTGAATAAATTTAGAGTAAACTTCAGATTTGTGATGTAACGAATAAATCCATGAGTATCGACTGTAGTCATCAATGAAAATAACATAGTAACGATAAGATTGCATTGAAGAAGTTGGGGAAGGTCCCCATACATCACTATGAATAAGCTCTAAACATTGAGTTGTACTAGTAGTAGATAAAGTAAACGGTAGCCTAGTGCTTTTTGCTTGTGCACAAGCATTACAAGGAGAAGATAGAGAGCTATGACTAAAAGATAAAACAGTAGATAAACGTTGCTGGCTTGTAGTAGAGGGATGTCCGAGACGCTGATGCCACAGATCATTTGAAGAGGAGGCAGCAAAAAGGGCATTGGCCGAGCCATGAGAGAGTTTGGCGGAAGCAGAAATGTTAACTGGGTAAAGACCATGACGATTGGGTCCTTGGAGAAGAGTCTTGTTGGTCCGGGAGTCCTTAATGGAGAAGCCATGGGCATCAAAAAGCACAAAGCAAGAATTGTCGTTAGTGAGTTTATGAATTGAAAGAAGATTATGAGAGAGATGAGGTACATGAAGTACTTGAGGGAGTGAAAGCTTACGATAGGGAGTGGGTAGCAAACCTTGACCGGTATGAGCAATTGGCAGCTGCTGTCCATTCCCTACCTGAACTTGAGATGAACTGGTGTAAGGTTGCATATTATGCAATGTTGCAGGATTGGCTGTCAGATGCTCTGTTGCTCCAGAATCCAAAAACCAGTCAGCCGTTTGGGTGTATTTGTCGAGATATAAGCTTGCGGCATTGTGTTGTAAGAGGTATCATGGCGATACCAGCAATGTACCGCTGAATGACCTGATTTTCCGTAGATTTGACAGTCTAGGGGCACGCGGGTTCGCCGTCCTCCATGAGTCGATGCAGATGAGCGACCAGAAGGTGAACGAGCAGAGCCACGATTAGAATATCCTCGGCCAGGAGACGAGCTTCCACGATAGGTGGAAGGAGCAGAGGCTCGACCACGACTCGATGCACGAGTAGCAGTTAAAGCAAAGTTGGG